TCCTGGACAAATGCGGGCATGTTTGGATTTGCATGGATGCAGATGAATATCAAGGTTGAATGCAATCGGTTGAGATACAACATATACATGATATATCATAATATCATTATAGAGACACTAGGAGGTTTGGATCATTGATGCTCAGAGCTGCCAGAGCTTCGGACTTATGGCCGAACGCGTCGCTCACGTCCGGCCGAACGGTTCGGACGGTTGACCTCCCTGAATCTCTTCGTTTGGGGTGATCGTTCCGGGATGGGACGGGCGGCGTCAGGAGGCTGTCGGACGCGAGCTGTTTGGGACTAGCAGATTGACCAAAATCAGTTGGTGTGGTGGATTTCAGGGGTCGGAGGCATACATTACATGGAGTGTTTTGGGGTTGGTGGGGTTGGCTGTGAAGGATATGATAGGCCCTTCAAAACAGAGTGTCTTCAGACAAGTCCCTTGAATTCGTCTACCAGATATCATCAGCTTGGACCTTTAAAGTGAAAAAACACGGTGCAGTGCAGCAATTCGCAAGACTTGAACTTGCCAGGTTGATCTCATTCTTGCTGAACTATACCTTGTCTAAAGCGTGGTTTCCTGGTCTCGTTTCTGTTTGGTGTTCGCGAATAGCATGCCGAATGCCCTGATTCACAAGCCTCCACAGTACATGTTGTTTGATGTTTTTTGATGTGCAGCTACTGTAATTTCTTTTAAACGTATTGCAGTAGCTCTTCTCCCGCAAGATGCGTCAAGATGAGCATTCTTTCGCCCCCGCGTCCATCCTCCACCTCCACCGCCCCGTTGCGCAGGAATGCCAAGGGTTTCGCCAAGGCTCTCGTTTCGCCCAGCGGTTTTTGGGGCTTTCTCGATGTGTGGGACACGTGCGAGACACGCTCCACGTGGAGCTCGACGCAACGAAGACATGACTGCACTTGCCCCCCCCACAGAACAATAAGGACCTCCAGACCGTAGATGGCTATTGCCCAAAATACAGAGCTCATGGTTCTGGTGCAGAGTTTACATGTATAAGTATGTATAAGTTTATTAGGCGGGTGATTACTGGATAGAATGGTGAATCTTGGCGAATCCAAAAGTTAATGAACACTATCCAGAAGAGGTGCATTATGCATCTAATATCATCGTCATGTCATGAGGACATATTTAAAAACCAAACGCTGATGGTCAGTCCCATCATCAAACGATGAAGACCGTTGATATAGAACGACCCCACGACCGCTGCGGTCAACGCTTCCTTCGGTCACGTCGGATCCTGATTCTCGCTTCTTCGGGACTGTTTAGACGACGAAGGAAGGCTGCGAAGGCGGTTCGTCGAGGCGGCGAAGTCGGTTCAAGATGCATGATCATGAAGATATTGACTTGTGACAATTCCAAGAAATCAAAACAAAGAGGAAGATACCACTCCGTACTAACATGGACATGGAAAAAAAAACTTGATTGATAGAGCACCTTGTTGAACCTTCTATTTGTTCGTTTCCTTAGTTAAACCAGGTGCAGAGTCCATGTCAGACCGGGTCACGGTCTGTCTGACGGACCAGGCAGGCGCCGACCACGCGCTGCGCGGCTTCGCAGGGCGCTACGTGCAGGACGGTGAGGCGCGAGCGCAGCTGGGACAACGAGGGCGGCAGCTGGGAGCCCAAATGAGATGTTTCGTCCCAAATTCTGCAGTTGATAAAGATTGACAGTGACCTTAATCTCGATTGTAGGATTAATCAAATTAGTTTAGTCTCGGGGGGGGGTCGAGCTGGGATTGATTCATAGGGGGTGGTTACTTAATCCTATGTCAACATTAATGCACCTCCCCAACTTCTACGCCAGAGGCCTGAGTTTCGAAGTATATATCGGGAAAATAAGAAATGATTCTTTGCAGCCGGTTAGAGGCTAGACTAGAGGTGTTGAGGGGCACTCTTTTCAATGTGAGCCCCACAAAGTGTGAGTGGCTTCAGAGAGAAGTGGGTGTAGAGGGACGGTAGATGTTTAATGATGTTTATGTCAATGTTGGGTGGCTTGGGTGGGAGCCTTCCGGGTACATTCAGGACACCCTGCCCAGACAGGGTGAGACTTGAAGGAAAGCTTCACATTCCCACGAGCCAAAGATGGTGAGATGGAGTTATAGAAGAACCCGACCCAGGTGCATCGGAGTTGAAGTCTTGATGACCCTTCAATCCTTGTGTACGGACTGGTACTCTCATGCAGCAGTGGTTCGCAGGTTTGTGAGCGGAAGACTTCCGTGTTCTGGCGCGCTCAACGGCTTCCGTTGGTGCGCGTAACTCTGATGGGCACTGTTCAGCGGCGTAGCTCTGTCAGTCCAGTCCCTTTCGCTTCTCGAGGATCCAAAGGAGATGACTACGCTGTCGGCCCCCGGCACATGCGTGTTGGCATTCCCACTTGCAGCGGCAACGTTGGTAACGGCTCAATGCATGCATAGTCGTAGCTCCAATGGGGCAAAATGGCGACCGTTCCATGTTGTGGTTGGTCATGTGCCTTCATTTCAGACCCTGCAGACGACGCAGCTTCTCTAGAGACCGTGAAGCACAAGGATTTCTCCCTCAGCCTAAGGCTCTACTCATTGGCCGCCGCCACGGACGGGCGTTGCGAGCGCTCTGGTCGAAACCCTGTCCGCCAGCCCATCGAGTTGTCCAAATGCCTGGTTGTGGCGGTGGGGCCCGTTGCACCGGCACTTGAGAGTACAGGGTGATGTCTTACATTGACTCCGAGACAGTGTACGGACTGACGGAGACTTGCACCGATTCACTTGAATGTTAACTTTGCTGTTTTATGTGAATGTTTAAGCCGGTGGGCTTTGTTTCAAGGGTTTCTTCAAGTGAGCGCGATCCTTTCTTTGAGGTCTTCCGCAACACGGTCGGCCCTATAGCTCCGAATCTGGTGTACATCGGCTACTTCACCATGCATTCACGCTTTGTTCGCGATCACGACTGCGCTGAGATCTTGCTGCAGTATTTGAGGCTGACCCATCTTGTGTTCCTGTGCTTAAGTAGAGACTACTAGAGACCCTGTGAAGATGTCGACGCAAGCCCAACGGATTGCAAATCGCACAGGCCACCAATGCAGACTTAGCTGAACGGACAGGGGGCAAAATCTTCTGGGCATCTCCAGAATGTTGGCTAATGCTTGACGCAAAGAGACAGTTTATTTTCATTATCTACTGGTATAAAATCGAGGCCAACATTCCCATTATCAATTTCGGCATGATGCTGGGTCAAGCAGACACTGTCCGTGATTTCTGGGGTCAAGTGTGCCAGTTGAATGTTGCCTGGACAGCTGGCCATAAAGCAAAAAAGTGAACTCTATTCAGTGCCCTCTACAGCCTGCAGGAAAGGAACTTTGGGCTGCTGCAGGAGGAGAACAGTCTACCAGCACCTGGCTGCAAAGCGGGGCAACCATTTGTTCACGTGTAGCTTTGCCCCTGCACCCGGCTCAGGCCCGTATCTCAGGCACAGTTCCTTGGCGCGTGCTGCTTCTTTGCCATTGTCACAGCCGTGCAACAAGGAGACCGCCGATTCTGCGGCTGTCGGCTCCTCGGCGCTCGTGCATTCCTCTAGCCCCTGGCTTACTCTGTCAATCAAGTCGCCTACTGCTCAGCCAAGCCAAGTTGGGCCCTAGCTTCTTACAAGCATGCACTCGCCCATATCCCGGTGTCCCTTTGTTTGACACTTGAAACACAACCATGTACAATCCAGTCTGAGCAGCCAAGCGAAGTTGCGTTGGCCTAGCTTTTGGCAACCGCTGCTTTCCATTGCTTTCCCATACAGTGCAAAGCCTTTGCATGGAAATCATCTGCAGTCAGTAGATTTTCGTACGGTCCCTGTGCAAGATGGGGAGTGCTTGGCACAAGCATGTGTTTGTGTGACTTGCAGCCGGTCACTACTACGACGACGACGACTACTACTACTACTGCTGCTACTACTTCTTTTGCTTCTGCTTCTACTTCTTCTCCTTGTACTCCTGCTCCTACTCCTTCACACTTCTGGTAATTACTGAATGCTTTGCATCTACTAGTAGCCTTTTTTGCTGCCCAAAGAATAGAACTTGTTGATAGGTTGCTTGTTTTGATACTGCAAGGAAGTTTTCATGTTGTTGAGATTCCAGGATATCCGTATTTAAGGTTCAAACGTGTTCAAAAGAAGCTTAAGGTCTTAGTGGATCGCCGGCAAAACCTTTATATATATATAGGACACCCTGCAAAATATGAACGCCATGGAGGTCCCCCTATTTATTGTAAATACAAACCCACATGGGTGATCATGAGTGCCCCTTTAACAATTATCGACACCCACCCAACCAATGGGAAGACTTGTTTGTTTCCCTTCTTTGTGGTCCAACTGGGAGGTGTCCTACACACCCACATGTGCTCTCATAGGTCGCTGCCGCTGTGTCCGGTGCCTTTTCGGCGTACCTGGCCTTGAGCCGCCTCTGAGCAAAACGTCGCGCTGCGGCGTCGTGATGCGTCACTGGCGTGGCGTTCCATTGTGCCAAAGCAAGAGGATTCAGATGCCTGTTTGATCTCAGATGGAAACCACTATATAGATGAAATCATTGGGTGAAAAGCTCAACTACCTCCATTTCGAGTGTGGTTGGGGTGGGAGCCAGTGGGGTTTGTCCCTACCATCTGAGGATATGTTTGGAGTCCTTGGGATTGAGTTTGGGGTGGTGAGCTTTCTACAGAAGGATGGCTTGCGTCACGGACTACAATAGGCTGCACAGTCAGCGAATTTTTTTGGGGATTCTGCTCTGCAGATCATGTTTCTTTAGTTCAGCCACCCAAGTCATTTTGTCAGGTCTCGTCTCGGTGCATGCCTAATCGAAGCGCTGTCAACTTGTACCAGCACTTGATCGATTCAGCACTTTGGATGTCGGCACTGGTCGTATGCAACAGCTGCCCAACACAATGCTGCTTTAAAGCTGATCATGGTATGTGTTCTCGTCACCATCGGACAGACGGGCACCTGGAGGACATGCCCGTCATCCGCCTCGGCCGCAGCCCGCCCTTTTCCGTGGCTCGGTCGACTGGTCCGCGCGGTGGAACCCGGAGCTTCGAGGCCATGGCACGCAGGAGCTTCCAACGGTGGAAAGCGGGTTCAGCGGCACAAAAGCAAAGGCTGCACGGTGTTTCCGGTCATTTGAGGATGTTTGGATGGTATATCTTCCAGGGTGGTGGTTTCATATCTATATACATATGGTTTATATATAATATACATATATATATGCTTATATATATATGCTACCCCCCCAAATGTCTACCTGTTTATTTAGTTAACTCTATTTTGATTACCAAGTTAATTTTGATTAATTCAATTTTGGTTTGAACCCGATTCTAGTTCAATGCAAATCTATTTCTATTTCAATCCAAATTGAATTCTCAATTAATTATGACTTGATTCTAGAAGAGGGTTTTGCTGGGGGTGTGATTTTAAGAAAAACACCTTTAAGAAAGCAACACATAATTGACATTCTGAATGACCTAATTTAAATATACTGTAATCAAATGTTCTTTCTATTTCAGTTATAATTCAACTCAATTTTAATGTTGAGTAACTTCCATATATAGTATATATATGTTAATTGCAATTCAATGCAAATTATGTTCAGTTAATGGTTACAGTTACTTCTTTTCAATTTAATTTCTATGCAGTTTATGTTTAAATCTAATATAACTATATATAACTCATTTTTTTGTAATCTAGTTATGTCTTTTATGCAATTCTAATTTGCTTCTAGAGAGTGTGGTTTGCTTTAAAAACCAACGCTTTGTATATAATTTATGTGTTGCTTTCTTAAAGATTGTTTTCTTAAAGTCACACCCCCAGCAAAGCCCTCTCTCTAGAATAAAGTCAGAGTTAAATGAGAATTCAATTTGCATTGAATTAGAAATACATTGGCATTGAGCGAATCGAATTCAAATTAGATGAGAATCAAGCAAAACTACTTTGGAAATCAAAATAGAATTAAAGTAGAATTGTAAACAACTCAAAATTACATATTAAAACTAGCTGAAGCCAACATTTAATTACATATAATTGAAATGTAAACAAAAACAAATTTGAATTAACATAAAACTAGAATAGAGCTAACTAGTTTAACTAAACTAAGATTTAATCTAAGCTTCATCGGTTCAAATAGAATAGGGTTAGAATTAAAGTAGAATTGAAATAGAATTGCTTAACCTGCAGCTCGATTCGAATTCACTTACACTGTAATAATGAATTAGAATTAGGCTTGAATGAGAGTCCTAGAACACTGCCGAAAACAAAAAGCACTGTATTTTTTGAGTATTTGATGTTTGGTTTTACCATTGCAGACGTTTGCATTCAGGAAGTTTATGCTCCCTCCACACTGTACTCAGCACAAAATACAGAAATAGCATTTGCAAACGTTTGCACACGAGAGGGGATTCAAGATTTGAGATTCAAGATTCAAGATTGCAGATTCAAGATTGAAGATTCCAGATTCAAGATTGACGATTTAAGATTCAAGATTCAGGATTGAAGGTTCAAGATTCAAGATTGAAGTTTCAATATTCAAGATTGAAGATTCAAAATTAAAGATTCAATAAGAAGTTCTTGAATCCTGGGTTCAAAACTTGAATCCAGTATATCAAGTGTTTGGAATCCTGGATTCAATGAATCTTCAATCTTGAATCTTGAATCCCCTCTTGTTTGCAAACGTTTGCAAACGCTATTTCTGGATTCTGTGCTGAGTACAGTGTGGAAGGAGCATTCATAAACTTCCTGAACGCAAACGTCCGAATTGGAAACGAATACTCAAAATGGGGGATATGTGTTTTGTATGTTTCCTTTCATTTGTAGAAGTGTTTTGTCTTTATAGTGTTTATATTCAAAAATATGCATAACACACCGTAAATACCAATCAAAGCCAACAGAGGTATACATTTGGGGGGGGTACCATATACATATACATACATATATATATATTATGCATATTTATGTTGTTTAACCTTTGTTTGACAAATATGTTTCACGTGAGTTGAAACCGCCAACCAGTTGTCCTTCTTTATCTTCCAAGCCACTGGTTGGGGTGGGTACAACTGATGTTTGTTTGTTTGGTTTGGTGTTTTTTTGCCCAAGATCAACTGACAGTTGTGGTCATTGACCTCATTGCGGAGAAACCAGTCGTACCTGACTTGCAATTGCCTCAGATTCAGGCAAGACTTGCAATGGCTGACTTGCAATGGCCGTAGTTGACGGACTCAGACAAGACCACCTAAGAAGGAGCTGCCTTTGGTCTTAGTATAGACATAGACATTCCCACCAGCCTGAGCCTCAGCAAGACTCCCTCATCACCTATATATTTGTTTGTTGTAAAATTGTTTTATCACCCTCCCACACAAGAGCTCTTTGAACTGCCATATCACAGCAACAACTGACCGGGTTTTGGCAAACAATTGCTGTTTTGGGGGGGTCGGCCAACGATTCAGAGAAGTTCAAGTACGATTAAGCTGACAGCAGCGCTAGCCAGTACCAGCTCAGAAGGTGTTGGTTGGACCCTTGAATCAGTGAGTGCTGTGGAATGTGACTCCCTACGCTTGCCTCTTTGTACCCTGATAGAATCTTTTGGACTCTTGCAAGCATCGAACATTTGGAAGTCCATGTGGATTGCTTTAGGTGGTTTGCCTTTGGTTTGTGGCAGGAGCAGCTTCAGCCTACTCGCGCTGGTCGCGCTGGTGCTTTTCCTGGGCGCATGTCGGAGCTTTGTGAACTTGGCCGCCTGGCTGAACAATTGGATTTGGGTAAAATGGCACAGTTGACCGGATGATCTTGCATTTAGACCCAACTAGAACACACTTGACACGATGATCTTGCATTTGGATCTGTTGGAACTTCCATGATCTTTTCAAGGGTTGCATTTGGTCAGATCTTTTTTTGGTTCCTCATCATTTTGGTCATTTTGCACGTCCACGTGGTCATTCCACAACCAGAAACTGGTGGCAATCTCCCGAATCGGACAAACATCGCTTTTGATGTCACAAAACCCAGTGATGTTTTTCGGTGTTCCCTTTCAGGTATACCCTATAGTCAGACCATGAATTGTTTTATAGTCTTTGACTCTCAGGGAACGGATTTATGTTCTCGACTTCCAACATGTTCAGATGGAATGATGGATTCATCCCGGCATCCACTTCTTCAGTTTCCTGAAGTCAGAGACTCCACTTCTACGCCTTCACTAACGTCTCCACAAGTCTCCACGCCTTCGCCTTTCAATGCACCACCAAGGCGACAGCGCCGGCACCTCCGCGAGTGTCGTTGAGGGCCTCCATTATGGCGCAGGTGGGCGAAATGGTCACAGGTTGGAGTGCTTTGGTGCATCCATTTGGGGAATCCGGAAGAGACCGAAGGGGAAGGATGGGGAAGGGGCTCTCTTTGTGTGGCATTGACATATGAGCGACGGACAAAATTATTGGCTGACTTATTTAGTCACGGCATGACCCTAAACCTATGTTGAGGGCTTCGTTTCTGTGGAAAACGATATGGTCCCCACCAAAAACGATAATAAACGATGATCTTGTTAAGACGTACTGTAGTGGGTACAAAGACGTTTGTGGTTACAATATGTTATTGCATTTGCATGTTTATTTGAGCATATTTGAGCTAAACCGATGGGCACAACTTTTCACCAATGATAACCCCAGACAACTTGCCAAACGATAATCCAAACGATAAGCAAACGATAACCTAAATGTCACGCCAGTCACTCCGTAGACCTACTTCTCCACATTACTAGTGACTAGTGTTTGTTCATGGGCCGAGCTACTAGGTCCCCGCTTATGTGTTGTGATCCTTGCACAGCCCAGTGCCACAAGAACCCACGTGCATAAATCAAGTGCTGTGCCATTCCTGTGCAGAAAGCACTGTAAGCCTCTAAGACTCTAATCTGAGGTTGTGAGTTATATTTTGTGTTTTTGTCTATGTGCCGGTATGCTATGCTAACTGCGGTTTGGAGAAACATTGGAGAACGATATGGACCCCACCAAAAACGATAATCATGTCAAATGGTATTTGGCTACACAAGTAATTTTGTCCGCTGCTCATATGTTAGATGATGTCGTGATTTGTCAGCACCTGAGCAAGGATTGTTTCTGAATTACCATATTGCATCCCACGACACGCGGAAGATAGTATGTTGCAGACTACAGGGATCAACCAGGACCTTCAAAGCCTGAGATCCGATTTTCGGTCCGGGTCAAGGATGGTTTTCGAAGCGGATTGAAGCCATAAAGATCTATAGATATCATTCCCCTTTCACATTGTTTCAGTTCTTTTGGGGGGTCGGTAATCTCCATCAGACCGACCGATGACCAGAGGGACGGTGTCGGGGCGACCGAAGGGCCGATCCCCACCGTGGTTCCTTCGGCCGGAGTTGAAACGAGTTGCAGGAGACCAAGAAGCCGAAATCGAGACAACAGCAGCAGGCCGGACTAGGAATATAAGAGAAGGGAGAGCGCAGGCTTTCATGCTCCATGTCGACGACTGGCTTTGCAGGTGGTTTTAAAGTACATGTTTGTATGGTCACCCTTGGTCACCCTTGGTTATAGTTTATTATCTATTGCAATTGCATTGCAGTTAAAACCTTTTTCAGGCAGGTTGAAACCACGACCGGTTTTCAACCACTTTCCGCCTTTTCGCACCCCTCCAGTTCCCCTTAGACACTACCGCGACCTACCGCCTCCCGAACTGGGTCAATCCCCTCACCTGGGGGATATATATGTTTAATTTTCCTATATAGGCTCCTTAAGCAAATCCTATAGGACATGTGTTCGTCCTTTTCTCCGGTGTGTTCCTCGGAACCGACCGGTCGTCTGACCGTCCGTGGACGCGAACGATGCGGGCGGGACGAGGGCGCCGCGTAGTTCACACGAAAAGGTCCGGTCCTGAGCGATGTATCCAACTTCTTCGGGTCGGATGAGTCGGATGTGACCTTTTTGAAGTCTCAGGACCTTCCAAAGTTTGGTGTCGACACAATAGCATCTTAGAGGTGTCCAAAAAGGACCTCTTGGAAGGTCCTGGTATGTGTTTTTGTTGTTTCTTCCAGGGCCGTTTGTGTCCGAAGCAACTGGTATACCAAGCTCGATCACTTTGAAGGTCCTGGGTGAAGCAGAGACTCCAGTCCGCAGGCCCGTCGACGGACTGGAATAGGTGCCAGGTCAAGACTCTTCAAGACGATCAATCAACCACCCCCTGACCTGCACAGATGGCAGTTTCATACAGGTTGTCTGACACACCTCCACTAGCGAAGCCAGGGCAGGTTCCAAGGGCCCCGGGAGCTTTGAGATGAGGCTTTGACTCAAAAGCTCTCTAGCAATTCACCACGGAAGCCCAACAGCTCCTGCGTTTAGAATGTTTCTGTACGGCCAGAGTGAGCGGGTTCTTGGATTCCAGGGGACTCTCCATCAACTCCGATCAACCGCGGCATACCCGTTTCCGGCGCTGAGTTCAAGTTCCCCAGTCAGCTGGAGGGTCTCAGTGCCGAAGAGATCAAGGCAGCGGGGTGACCTTGGACGTGCGTTTCGGGCCAAGTTGCCTCCGAGAAGGATGACCCACGAATTGCAGGTTTCAGTAATTTGTTTGTTGCATTAATTTCAGAAACACATCTGCGAGTTGTTTTGTTACTGTAGTCACGTTTGAGTTGTTGTTCCTTCAAGGCTTGGGGTGGACCCCAAGTTTGAGTCATCTCCTTCTGCTGTCTCTACACCTCTCCCCAATTGTCTCATAGACTTTCATTCGTTTTTGTTTTTTTTCCGCTCCATTCGGACTTCTGGGTCTTTTGCCTTTTGTTTAAAGCGTTGGAAGATATTTGTGTCTTTTTTTGTCAGGTATATCATATGATACACATATATAATATACTTTTATATATAATATACAAATCCCCTGGCATCGGTTCCTCATGCAAAATCCAAGTGTTCAAAGACCGAACTTCAGCCACGACCGAGTAGGGCCTGACGGAAGAACGGGGGATGTAAACTGCAAAGAAGCTGCTGGACACCGGTGGGAAAGAAAAAAGGTTTGTATAGGTTTCTCCCCAAATAAATAGAACCGGATAGAAACAGTTTCCAATGCAATGTATTGCGGGCCCCCATGGAATTGCGAAGAGTGCACCATTTTGGGAAATTACATTTTTGAAACTAACCACATGTTTGGAGTAGGGAATTTTGACTTTAAATTGGGGGGTTCCATATTTGCTGCCACAGCATGAAATATTCTTTCAGGGTCAGGTGATCCGAGCCGGTTTCGGAGCCTGAAGTTCCAGGGCCTGAAGTCTTCCTCTCCAGAGCATCCATGTGACTGGAAACAGAGTCACACCAGAGTCACCCCATGAAAATGACCTTATAACTTATAACTATTCCAGTCCCAGAAATGGTCGGATTTCGACGTTTGGATGAGAAGAGCTCCGATGGACCCATGGGACAGTGCGAGAAGGTTCTGGGAAACAGAGCTGGAGCTGGCAGTGACCGAAAAAAGCACATTGTTGGAAGGTGCTGTGAAGTCGCAAGTGGTCAGGCAATGGCAAAGATGATCGATATCTATTATGCCTGAAGCTTTCTGGTAAAGATCTTGGGTGGAGATCCATCTCCTGTCTTTGCGAACATCTATGCTTATCAACATCTCGGCGACCTCTTGCACATTTTGGAATTAGGATGTGTATATATCAACCTGACGCTTCCTCGCTAGATTTTGCTACCAACAAAAACTGATCTTGAACAGTGCTCATTCGAGCAAAGCAGTGCTACACAGGCCTAATTACATTGACAATGGCCCATGCCTTATTGTGTTTTTAATAACGCAAATAATTTATCATCCTCTAGCATCTGATCATCTTCCAGCACGAAGATGGTCTGGTCATTTGATCATTTTCTATTGCATCTTCTCCTTTTGAAGCATTTTGCAGTGGGAGCTCCCAGCACCACCTTGACCGAGCCTCTGGCGGGCGTTCAGGCGCGAAAGGCACGGGCCTTGGACATCTGGGAGTCGCTGAAGCCCGACGTGGAAGCCGAGATGGAAAGGCAGGTTGGTGGGGCAGAGGTGGGGCAGAGGCAGTTGGAAGCCAAGTCTTGTTTTTTTGTCTGTGCCTGAAACAAGGAGTTCCCATGAAATAAGTTGAAGTTCAAACTGTTGAGAACCAAGTAAGAGTGCTTTTGTATTTGCCCGAGGGCAAGCAGATGCAAGCAGCACAGGATCCAGGATTCGTGGGAGGCCTCAACTTCGCAGGATCGTGGCACGCCTCAACTTCTCGATTCAAGCAAACGGTCTCTTATGTAAGTCAATGAGAGGAACTGAGCTCGGGATTTCCGCATTGTTCTTGTGGGAGTCGCCCCAAGCAACGCAAACAAAAGCTAACTTTTGGGACCGCAAACGAGATGGTTTATCCAAGCCCAGGTTGATACCGGTATACTACTGACAGATGTGAAGAATCAGTATGTATAGGCTCAATGTATGAGACCCTTTTTGTTTAGTACCAACATAGATCACAAGCTTTTGCCACCGGTCTTTCCTTCCCACCAGTCTTAAACGACGGTGAGGTACCAGACCTTCCGCGTGGACAAGTTTGAAGAGTTCATGCGTGCGGATAGTCGAGGGTGCCTTGACTGTCGATGTGTGGGGCGCTTCGGATCACGCCACGCCGGACTGCCGTGCCGCTTCGAAAAACATCGGGGGACGGATCATTGAGGATCATGACGGATCATGACGGATCAGATCAAGATGTATAATGCATGGATGATCATGGAGGCATATGACGTTGGCTTTTCAAAGATTCAAGCCAACTGTGAACAGCCGAGAATCCTTGAACTCACAGGCTGAATTGAAGCATTCTCATGGCATCTCCTGGCCAGACAGATGAAAGAGAGGACAGATGAAGGACCGGAGGAGACAGGGACCGACACCTTCCAAGACAACTGAAAGTGGAGGTCGGAAGGATACATCCCTGAGAGTCCAGGAACATGATTCATTTTACCCCGAACTGGTATTGGTGGATTATGACTACAAGGTGGAGTAAAACGAGTCATTGGAAGTTCTGGGTACAAATGCATATAAACTATATGGGGTCCTATGGTTCTCTTTGATTCTGTGGGAAAAGGGCACTTTTGCGCCCTTCAGGGTGGCTCTCTTCGAGCTCTACAAGCCGGGCACCCCGGAGTATGCTGAGCTCTTCGAGGACTGCAACGGTCTGGTGTGTTTTCTGTTTTGCGCGAGTGGAGCATGGGTTTCTTTTGGGAGTTATATAGCCCTGTTGGACCTGTCGGATAGGGAAATGTGTTGGACATGGTGAAGAATCGTAGATCTTGGATAGACTCGAACTAGTATTATTTGCTCACAACCTACCGCTTGTTAGTGCCTTCTATAGGCTCCCTCGAGCAAGCACTCCTTCCTACCGGCAAGTGCTAGACGGTCTTGGTTGATAACCTTTAGTTGAAGCTGAGAGCTTAACGCACCTGGAGCTTCAGAAGTATCCTAGAACATGGAGCGTGATCCCCAGGCAAATGGATCCTGTAACGCTTGTACCTGTTGATTTCGTTGTTCTTAATTAATGGCTGAGACACCAGGTAAATCATGGGTAAATCACTGACATCACATTTGTAAGGTCCCATGGCACTTATGTGTTGTCGCTTTGCTTTCCCTGCATCGGTCTTCCTTGTCCTCGCAAGTGATTCGCAGCTGGGAGGCCCGGCGGATCGATCGATCGGGCGGTGGAAGACCGAGGGAAGACCGAGTCGGACCTTTGGACCACCTGGTTGGTTCGGTCACAAACAAGCCTCCTGTTTGGGTCACGAAAAGACACCTTCAAAAGGTCACGAACTGAAGAAGCTGGGGCACTCCCTTTGTTCACACCGAAAGCATGTGCAAACACCATGCGCAAGCACATGCGCAAGCACATGCACAGGAGACGCTGGGGCCCTTCTTGCTGGACCTTGCGAAGGGCAAGCTGCAAGAAGGAGCGGCGCTCCACTGGGTGATCTTGGCCCAGCCTGCTTGCTTGCGGAGGGACACATTCCAAAACAGTAATGAACAGTGGCACTTACAAAAATCCTGATGGTATTTGTTCCCTCTGAACACTGGGAGATCCTGAACTTGTCGATGGTGGAAACTCTGATGAAACTCTTGGCCAAGATCATTTCGTTTGTCAACGGCTTGCTATCGACCATGTTTTCACCGTGCATCCAGCATCGTCCGGCACTCTTTTGCTGGCTGTTTTGGGGGGGAGCAAAAGACCAACCAAAAATGGACCGTAGCTGGTCGGTCGACCGTCGGAGCGAGTCGCACCGACGGAGTCGCGCGAGCAGTCGTAAGGCGGTGCAACCACACCCGTTGCTGCGATTGCTCAGCAGATCTCTGAACCGGTTCTGATGAACAAAAGCAGACTGTGCGCAACGACATAGATCTTGATTTTCTGGCCAAAACATTGCTAATCGATGGATGTCCCAACAATTAGGGGTCATTTGTCTTTTTTGGGGGGAAGGATCAACAGGAATGAATTCTACTTATATAGGTATGTATGTAGGAATGAATTCTCTAGGTTCATGTCTATTTTGTTCAATGAGGATCATGGAAAGATTTCATACTTAGGTTCATTGCGAGTCACCGGCGAACTGGCCGAACTGGGCAGATGGCGAGAAACTGGAATGAAACGACCGAAATCCGTCGGACGGAAAGGCTGATGGATGAATCACATTTGAGGCCTCCATGGTTTGATCATTGCAGATGATGTGTTTCATTTCTGGGCTGAAATCCCAAAAAAGCGAGATCCAAGATGTCCAAGAGGTCCTAAGAGACTAACAACTCCACCCGGGAGAGGCCCAAAACCAAGACTGGGCGTGGGACCGGTCGTCGAACGCGGAGCCGCTCCAGGACTGGGACAAGTGGTGGGTGTGGGGACGCCCAGCGGGAAAAAGGCTGCTGGGGCCATCCTTTTTGGGGATTCTCATGAGCATAAAGGTCAAACAAAAAGTTACAAAATAAGTGGAATAAGCTGGAAGAAATTGGTCATACACAAACTGGAAAAGTTACAATATGATATAACAATTGGTCATACATAGAGTAAAGTAAAGTGTTTGTAACTCTTCCATCTACGATGGATGCATTTGGGATGTTTCCGGTCCAAGAGCAGCGCAGGTATTGGGTGAATGCCCAAAGGGTGCATTCACCCAAATCCTAGACAATGTTTTTTAGAGTAGATCAGTTCCGAATGGTCATGGTCTCCAGCTTTGGTCTTGAAATGGAATCGCGTGATGTCCGGGTTTCACCGTGGATTTCACCGTGGTTTCACTGGTTTGGGATAAAGGATCTGGTCAACAAGGGATCCTACCTTTTAGGGGCTGTGAGATTATGGCATCATTGACTGTATCTTTGCCGCTCCAGAGTAAAGGTTAGAACAGCCGACCTTACATGTTATTCTCGAGTCTGATGTGGCCAGGACACTGTGCACACTCTGTGGGCGGTAGGCCAATTCTGTTTGTTCTGTCTGAAGTCAGTGCTCCATGTCGGATTTTGTCCCAGAAGCACCAATACATAGCCTGCCAGGCCCTCCTCAGCCCTCCTCCCTGGCACCGCTTTCTTTGGTTTCGATTGGCAGGTCATCCTTGTGGTGGGCATCATTGCGGCAGTCCTGGCGGACGCTGAGATGCATTTCCACCGAACACGTGGATTTGTTGAAGAACATACCCCTGGTACCATTGAACGGACCCCCTGGGCGACGAACGGATAGCCATGCATCAGAGGTTTTGGGGGCCAGACGTGGTCGACTGGTGATGGACCGTGACCGTGACCGAACTTGATACCCCAGAAACTCAGGTCACGAGTTTGGGCCTGGGACTATCAGGTCGGTCATGAAGAAGCTGGTTGGTTGTTTGTTTGTCTTCAATTTGAGTGGCTTGAAGGCACCTTTTGAAGTCTCTGGTTCTGGAGTTCTACAGACTGGTAGTTACTGAAACTCGACGTCTCCGACACGTGCCGGAGTCTTTCTTCGATGGGCCTCACGATAAAGCACACATGACGAGGAGTCAAGCATGTTGAATCACCAGAGTCACTGGGGGTTGAATCACCAGGTTGAATACCAGTGACTGGGCTTGGAATCATGCCCAGGCTAATTTCCAATACCAGTGGATACACTGGGGTCACCAGCATGTTGAACTCGCTGGAGTGTATGGATCTTTTGTTTTCTGATTCTTAGGACAATTCAAGGCCGTCAAGGCTCCACCGAACGAGTTGTCCGGGTTTTGACTTTGGCATAGGGGTATAGACAGCAGGTCTAAGTTGAGTCGTTTTTGATTTGAGTCTAGCTCAATTTGGGAGACCTCCCAGGCAACTACCCCCTGGAAGAAGCGCAGTCTAGACCAGTCTACCCACTGGGCCAGGGTGTCTCCCTATTAAAATACACAGACATTTGAGTCCATTTGTGTCATGAGCAGAGTTGTCTCCATGTGTTTGTTTCGAGTCTCAGTGTTTGTAAATGCAAAAAACAACTCAAAAGTGGTGGTTCTCACAAGCGTTCAACCTTTTTTTCACATGTTGGGGTGTTATTGAACAACCCTCTCAGCGCTCTTGTTTTTGTTTTGTTCCGACCCCCAACCAAGAAAAAGTTGGGGAGACTCATCTGAGCCGTGCCAAGCTCCTTGATGAAGTGCAGACTGGTGGTATTCTTTTTTTTTTTTTTTCGATGCGATGCATGACACATTTAACGAAAGAGCGAGTTGTTCTGTAGATGTTTTGTAGCCACACCCCAAACAACTTGTTTTTCCACTTCTGCTAAGGCGCCATTTTTTCAGGCACCTTAAGGAAATCCAAGACAAGGTGTTCCCCGTTCATCCTGGAGATGATTGCCACCCCATCCCTTCCAACCCTTCACCGATGGTCGTCGTTTTCAGCGCGCATGATGTCTGAGTACTTCGGCACGGACATCATCCAGGGCATGACAAGCCCGTTTCTGGGAGAAGAGGGTGGAAGCGGAGCGGAGTGTAGCGAAGCAAGTGGACTCAGTCGGCTTTGCGGGACTGCCCTACCCAGTCAGTGGATAACCTGCAAAACCCTTGTTGAATTTGTTCCCCACAAAATATGAGCAGGTTGTGGAGAGGTTATTATTCTATATTTTCCTGCATGGGAAACTGAGGGAGCCAGATGTTATCTAGGCTTTTCGGGACTCACTGCCATCTCAAGGCTTGGCGTTCTCTGGATGTGAAGGAAGTTGTTGACCGCCAGCTTTCTCAAGCAAGATGAGCTGTTGTATAAAGTTGGATGAATGGGGTATTGGGAGTCTATTGATTGGTATGCGTGGAATTCACCGTCCCAACTGGAACAGTCACTCCAATTGGAACAGCCACCTCTGGACCTCTAAACATTTCCACTCACTTTCCATCCCTAGATCCGGCAATACGGATCCCGGAGACCTGTTTGTTTGGATCCTATCCTACTGAGTCATAACATGTCATGCCATTGATCCAACTTGCCCCTCAAGTTTGAAAACTTATTTTAAAAACACCGCCAGCCTTCACGTCCCCAAAAGCATCCTTAAACATGTTAACAGCTTCCATCGCGCGCGTTGGGACTCGCCACCCGCGTTTTCCACACGGTTCTTCTCGCTCGGCCACGGCTCCGAGAGCGAGGTTCTCGGGCTTCGCAGAGCAGTTCGTGGAACTCTATGGTTTCTGAGGCGTTCGGGCACTCGAAGGGTGGCGACGAGCGCCGGTTCCATCGCAGGTTCCGAAAGGGTGGGCCCTTGGGAGGCTGCCGATTGCTTGATCTCTTGAGCTTGATGCAGTTAGATCAAGTTGAGGGTGCTCTGTACGTTGAGAAATAGTCTTAGAGGTATTCAATAAAACAGTTTAAACATGCTTTCTAAGACATTCAAGGAGTTGAATCTGGTTTGAGTGCCATTGTTCGAAGGACGGTCTTAAATCGGGTTTTGAATTGTTTGATACCCGTGCCCCTAACGTCCGCAGGGCTAAGCGTCCCCCTGACCGCGCCTCCCTTCGGTATCCCACGACCGGACTCCAATGGGAAACCACGACCGGACGACCGGACGACCTGAGCGAGCTGCGGCCACGAGCGGGGGAAGAAAAATCGCTCCATGGATCTCGTTTTGGTGTAGAACAATTCATCGATGCCATACGTGCCACGGGCTGGACGGGCTGGAAGAATGTGTTGGACAAGGGACATCATGGATAATGTATATATATATATATATATGGACTATACTCACTACTCTATGGGACCATGTGCCACGGAGTCTTTGGGATTCTTGTCGCTTTGGGATTCTGTGTTCCGAGTCCCATGAGGTGAGCCGATGAGCGGCGACGGCGCGAACCGCCACGGTGTCCGTGCCACTCTCACCGTGTCTCACCCACGAGCGGCTGCGGTGCTCGAGTGGAGAGGTGGTCAGACCACGTGCGAAGACAGAGCGGTAGACTCCAGGAGGACCCAAAAAGAAAGAACGGTCCAAAGACCTGCAGTCGGAGTTGAATAGAATGGGCCCCCATTCTAGGGAGTCCTCCGATTTTGGAATGTTGTTGGTTCATCTGCTGCATTCCTCATTCCTTCCAGGCTGTTCAAGCTCTGGAAGTTCATTGAGAAGCTTGTTGGAACAGTGGCTACTCATTTGAGGGTCTAATATAGTCTATGTATGTCTATGTTATACTATGTTCCGATTGATCCTGTTGGAGCATGTGTTGGAACTGGTGGGGAAAGCTTGGGTTTCTCCTGGCCAGCAAGTCGTTGACCCCGGCTCTCTTCTGCACTGAAGGAGTCCGAGTGACATCTCCGGAACACCGTTGAAAACGCCGCACGTGCCGCAAGAGCTAAGCGCCATTTTCGTTCAGCGACCTGACAAGAGCTATAGGCCCTTTTTTTGGAGGCCAGAAGCGAACTTGAGAAGATGGTAGATCTCTAAAGATGTATAGAGACATAAGGTACGCAAAAGAAGATCATCATACCCAGACACTCCATGTATAGAATATTTGCCTACGTGGACCCCTCAAAATACCCCAATGTAGGTAAATATGCCAGTCCCATGGAGTGTCTGGGATAGATAATCCTTTACTTGAGTCGAGAAATGTCACTCTTCGCCTTCATCCATGAAGTCTTTGACCCCACAGACAGATTCTCCATTTTTGTTCAGGAGAAGCTTCTGTCTGGGTAGAGGTGCTCCTTCGCTGCAACCCTGAAACAAAAGTTCCACACAAATCGGAAAATGGTGACGTTGAAGTTAAAGACTTGGAATGATATCCAGACACTCCATCCCTAGGAATCCAGTCGTATCTTCTCAGGTACGGTGATTGGAGGCACTGTTATGTAGGTGCCTGCAGGCTCCAGTCGTACCGAACCTGAGGACGTACAACGGGCATGGACTGAAATCTATGCCGCACCATTGACCCTAACGTCTGCACCCAACGTCTGCAAAGATGCCAGTCCCATGGAGTGTTTAGGTGCTGTTGATGGAAGACATTTGGCACCAGCCCAGAAAGAGTAAGCCATAGAAACCTACACATCTGCAGTGTTGCCAGGTGGTTGCTATGGCATCAAACCGTCTCCCTGGTGTGCTGGTGCATCTCTAATCACCGTTTGCTGCCTTTGCTAATTTTGACAAATCCAGTAAGCGCCGTTGGTGTTTGCCATTATCCCCTACTTAGGTATGATAGTTGTATGTCCAGATGTCAAGTATGGGTTGCTGGACTAAGGGACAAAGTGACATGTTCTGGACCTTCCAGTTTTGATCGAGCTGTGGACATTGATAGCCTGTCATAGCCAGTCCACAGGGTCCATGTCAACAAGTCAATATGCTGCCAATAACAAAAAACACCTTACATGTTGCGAGCTCGTAGGAGGTCGCCGAACCAGTCGGAATCACGCCCCAGCTTGGGGTGCTGATGGCTCGTGCCAGCGGTGCTCAAGAGTCCATAGGCCTTGCTTCAGAAGAGCAGCGATATTGATTGCAATATAGTAAAATACATAGATTGATCAATAATTCAATATTCCATATCCTGTTTGATTCGTATCATATGAACATCCATTAGGATTTGTACAATGTGTTGTAATTAGAACTGTGGAACACATGATATTTGAGGCCCTGAGAGGTCTACAGTAACATTCTTTAGCCCGTGTGAACTGTGGCAGTTTGATCAATTCCTTTGGGTGCACCTGATACCAGTTTCTCGGTTGGCAGGGCTCCCTTTCACCCACACCCAATCAACTATCAAATAGTAACTATTTGATGTTATCAAGAGTCATTGTTCAATGACCAACACCTTTGGATAACAATTGTGGTTGATGTCTATACTAATATGTTTGTGTGGCATGTTTACCTTCGACACTTGAGTAGGCGATGGCCAACACAATTTTCGACCGATCGATCTTCGGCCCCCAGAGACAGCGCCTTTTAAGAAAGAAAAACGATCGCCGCGCGCTTCTTGCGTTGACGACGATGGTTAGATGTTGCCACGCCACGTGTCCACTGCACTCGCCGACCGACAGACTTTGCTGATGCCGTGATGAGACTGCATGTGGTAAGCACCAAAAAACCATGAGTCATAGAGTAGTTCAATTTCCTGTACCAACATTGCGGGTTTCTTTGTGAGAGCCACCATTGTGGAGTTCTGTCAGCTTTCAGAGTTTACGTTGCGATGCGTTTGCTTCCGATCCTTGCTTCCGCTAAGCATGTTGCAATCATCCAGATTTGATGACCCTTGATGACCAATTTTTGAGGATGGTGATCACAGATGATTCAACTCAAAACCCAACACCCCAATCACTCAGCAGTCACTTTTGTCCATTTTCCGCAGTTGGCAGACACTTGGCCGAGATTCTCTTCGGAAGACATAGGCCCTGTCCACTCAGAAAGAGTTTGTTTTTCAACCTTCAGGCATTGGCTTAATCAGAGGCTTATTTCCGCCCCACTGTTTGGAACTATAACCGGTATGCATTCGGAACGCAGAGCGTTTTCTTGCTCAAACACCAGCAGCGGCCACGTACGCCCCGTGACGGAGGGAGCTTGACTTTTACACGATCGCAGACGCGATGAAGTCGCTCGGCCAAGGACGTTGGAGCACCATGTGAAGCGAAGCTTTTTCCAATAAAGTATTAGAATCCATTCCTGTATATACAAATTAGCAGGGAATCGACTGAAGACAGATATGATATAACATGGATACAAGAGGTCGTTTCCCGTTTTGTATATGGACCAACAGTTACACTTCATGCGACTCTTCATTGTAAGATTCCAGGTTTGCCTCGCAGGGCCTTGATTGTGTGTTTTCGGCCTCCAAGATTTGGTGTGTTTGGATTTCTGTTTGCATCTCTCTTCAGAAGAGGATTGATCACGGTTAGGCAACCAGCATCAGATTGAAACAGTTGCAAGACATTGGTTGTTATTTCTGAGGAAATGACAGCTTGAACCGCACTCTTAAACGTGTTTGAAGGTCAGCCAGGCTTTTGCTGGAAGCGTATCTTAGGCTCTCTTAATAGGCTGTTAGGATCTGTTTGGCACGTATTCATTTGGTTTTGAGAGACGCTACTTCAAGACAAGTTGCATGGTTCATAGATGTAGACCTTTGGTTATAGGTTCAAGGTCCAAGGTTTAGGACTCGATGCAATGAACAATTAAGACATGTGTCGTACGGACTCGAGTGTCATGCTATTGGACAGAGTCTTGAGTGTTTCATCGTGAGCAAATGTCCAAGTCTAACAGATACCATCTCGGGCTGTGAAGTGTTGTAGTCAGCACATACTGCTCCGTTGTACTCGTATGGTCTCAGCTTGAAAGAAATGGACGTGTCCCAAATAACATTTGTATGTCCTGAAGTGACAAATTGGAGCAGTACATACATTTCTTTTTGCTTGGAACTGGGTGGTTTACAAACACAAAACATCCAACAAGTCTATTTAAATATATTCTGAAATTCACCCAGTCTCACATTGTTCCATCTCATTCTGTGGTGTGATCCTCAGGATGTCATGGGCCCAACGTGTGCGCTCCAAGAGCAAGCAAGAGAAGTTAGGCGCGCCTTCACGGTCGACTGGTCGACCGCATTCACGGACTGCGTGGTCCGCGGCGCGCGCGATGGATGCCGCTGAACACCACAGGGTCTTGCGGTGTTTTTTTCCCATTGACTTTCACCTCGGGAGTTTTCTTTGTTTGTGAATCTACAGTTTTTGATGCAGAGCTGCATATGGAAGTCAGCCAGTTTCTTCAAATTTAAAGTGACTTTTTGGGAGTCTCTAAGTGACCTTGTAGAGGCACAAGTGACCTCAAACTGCGTGGGATATCAAAAGGTTACTTGGAAGAAGCAAGAAGAGAGAATTGATGTTGCGCTTTCTGAAACCATGAGGATTGTAGATCCGAGACCAGGTGGACAGATCAGTCACCCTGATCGCCACACCGCCAAACCTCTCGGTCGCCCGGATCCTTTGTGGGCTCCTCTCTCACATCCGAAGGTGATCGACACCATGGCAAAAACACCCCTGGCCCTCCGCGGGGCGGAGCCCCAAAAAGCCATGATAACATAGCCGAACTGGAACCCGACCTGCCCGACACGAATGAGATCTCGTGCAGCGCGCCACCGAGTGTTATATGCGCGAGAATAGATAGCACAACAAACCACAACCGACACGATCCATAAAATATGTCGAGAGCCGTTGTCCGGAAGCGTCAAGATCGCTTCCACGTGAGGAAAAGGCGAGCTCCATGCGCAGCAGTTCAAGGTCTTCTTGAACGAACTGAAGCTGTGTCTCGCTCAGACAAATGGAACTGGATTATTTACATACGTTGACCCCCTGAAACCACCCCAGTGTAGGTGTATATTGGTGCTTGAGTGAACTCTATTTTGGACCACCTACTGTACCCCAAATATTATTAGTAATTATTAGTATTTTCCTATCAAAAAGGGCGTTTAATGGGCTGTAGGTATACTATATGCCATACATGGAGTGTCTGGGTTAAGACGTTTGAAGTTCCCCGACGTCCCCGACACCTGTTCTTCACGCATGCCACGTGATACCCTGACTCCCGTGCCAGCCGTAGCGGTGTGAAGTGCGTGTGCGTATTGATCCAGAAAAAAGAAGCCTGGGCTTTGAGTCTCACATACTTGGAAGTCTTTACATACGCAATTGGCTATACAAGATGACTGTGTATATATATATATGTTATATTATTGTTTGTTTGTTTGAAACCCATATTCGATGGCGGCCAACCTGCGTCACGATTCATGAATGCTCATGGATATGCATGGTACTTGTAGCTATGCATCACTTACGGTTGCCTTCAACTCAAGGCCATAGAAGAAATGTTATGACATCCTTTGGCATGTGCTAACTTACAAGATTCCCATAAAAAGATTTGATTAATGGTGCACTGGGAGCCCAAGTCTTCTCAAACTCAACCCGCTATACCTGGACCCTTTGTTCTGTTGGCATCTAAATGGTATGAAGTCGGTCCCCGTGTTCATGGGACACCAATCGATCCGGTACAAAGAAAAGGCGTCCGGGCGTCGTCATGTGTGTGTAGGGTCACTCTCGTTCTTTCTGAACCCATTTGACCTCTGTTTTGATAGGAAAAGACAATGTTTTGGCTCCAAAACAGGGGTCAATCAGGTTCTAGGTAGTTTCGTGTTACTAGTAGTAATGCCATGCCCTTGCCCTTGTTACTAGTAGTTTCTTGTAATACGAGTGTTGACTTTTTATGATCCCATGTGTTGTTATATCAGTGGTTTTTCTCCGACATCCAGACCCCCCACATGTGTCTCGAATCTGTTCGGGTCGCGAAAACGAGGCTGCCTCGACCTGCATAACAACATCTATGCTACTGTACTAGCTAGGTACTATTATATACACCAAACGATGGCTTGCTTTGACCGTTTGACATCATGCGCCGCCCTCAGGGACCCCGAGAGCCTCGTGGTTGAGGTGGAGAAATGCCGCCTTCAACGCGAGTCGAAGGACGGGTCGAAGGGTCGAAGGGTCGTCGGCGTCGGCTTCGTGTCGCGAGGGGCGTTGGCCTCGGCTCAGCTTGGATTTGGTTCGGACCAAAACGCAAGGCGATGGTGAACAGTTATCTGGTGGAAAGATGTGTTTCATGATGTGAAACACAGTCGAACACAGTCCCGTTTTGCGATAAAGGTGATGTGTATTTTCCCCGAAGATGTTCCCTAATGTCGACTCTTGATTTATAAACTCCCCCCCCCTTCAACAACCAAGGCCTCCAAAATAATGTATAAGAAAATCAATCAATTGATAATTAAATAAGGAATCCTTAGCTGGCTACCTCTGGAGCTACTCCGGCAATACTAAAATGACAGGAATCAAGAAACCTAACTTTGAAGACATCTGGAATATTAACTACAATAAAAGGGAATGAATCAATGCAAATAGAACATAATAGAACTAACTTTTCAGATTTCAATGGAAATCTGAATCCAAAGACCTGCAAATTCAATGGTAAGTAAAGCAAATCAAAAGGCAGAGAAAAGGAATAAATATTTAAAGCCTCAAATCTCTAGACATTATTCTAGGGGCCCCCCCTAAATAATGCCAGAAAGCTGCTTGCTGGACTACCCCCTTTGCTTGAATGATTTTTTTG